AGAGAATAAATTGCTAAAACATATCGTAATAATGATAATGAGAAAGACTGAACATTCGGAATATAGTTGAAAAATACAGAATAGATAGGAATACATAAAAGTATATTGAAATTCAAGATCGAGAGAAATAAATAAAGAGTGAATGCATCTGAATCGTTGTGATTATCTCTAAACAAATATATTTGACTGTAATTGTTCGACCTTCTTGAAGTAAAAAAAAATTATTTCAAATATTTCAATTGGATCCTCGACCGAAGCTGCTACCTTGACGCGGTGGTCGGGCTTGCCTATCGTGATGACCCAACCGAGCTATATTGGCTGGAACATATGTTCCTGTAGGTTCTACCAAGCCAAGCAGGTCGATTGGAGAACGGTAAGACTAAAAGCAACAACTCAAGGTCTGAGGGTGAAGTCGTACTGCTGACTGTAGAGGGGTGTGACAGCAGTAAGCTGTTTCCTTCAGACAACCAGCATCTGCAGCGATGCTGCCTTCCCACAAGGAGGGGTGGGGTTAGAAAAGGTCGACCCTAAAAATGTCACACCTCACCTTACCTCACGGATTTCCGTCTCCGGCGGTAAGGCCCTTTGAAGAACGGAGCTAACACGTCAAAAACCTTCCACAAAAAGGCCGTGCGCGACCGGCCTGAAGCAGTTGACCCTTGGGCTCTGCGGTCACGCTCCCAGGTCGTTAAGACCAACACTAATCCAATTTCCTTTTCAGGTTCCTCAATAAATACGCTTTCACGGTGTGGGCAGCTGGGAAGTGATATCAGCCCTCATACCCGTAACAGCACGCGAGACCAAGTTAGTCACATTCAAATCCTTTTTACACCTAATACCTCTCTTATCTCCATGACCAACCCTCCTCACGTCTCTTTATCTCCTCGCACCGCTAGGGCAAACGATTCGGATACGCGGGACGTTATTCCTGGTCTCTTAAAACCGCTCTCCAAACTACATGTAGGAGCTCTTAACGTCCGGACACTGTGCCAAATAGGACAAAAAACATTCCTGGCTAGAACTTTAGAATCTCGCTCCATCGATTTATGCTGCGTCTCCGAAACGTGTATGCAGGGTCCGAGTAGCGTCATTCACTCGACCTCACCATGCCAAAATAAAGAACCAACTAGATTCACACTTCGTCTATCTGGAAGCTCTGATTCTGCTTCCCGTGGCCTCGCCGGCGTAAGCATAGCATTGAGCCCTAGGGCAGAGCTAGCTTCCTTCGAGTGGATCCCAGTAGACAGTCGTTTGTGCACTGTCCGACTGAACGGAACAGTAAGGATCCGAAAAGATAGGGACACTCGTCGTTGCCTCTTCGTCGTCTCTGCCTATTCTCCCACTGACTGCAGCTCAGATGATGTAAAAGATGAGTTTTGCAGAAAGCTTTCCGACCTTCTCCGAAAAGCTAGGCGCTCTGATGTAGTAATAGTGGCCGGTGACTAATGCTCAAGTAGGTAAACTAAGCGATAGGGAAAGACACCTAGGTAGATCTTATGGTGTCGTGGCTCAAAGAACAGATAATGGCGACCGTCTGTTGCAGCTATGCTCAGATAACCGCCTGTTCCTTGCAAATACTAACTTTAAGCATAAGGAAAAACATCTTTTAACATGGCGACCCCCTAATTCGTCCCAACGTTGGACCCAGATAGATCAAATCGCTATCAGCCACCGATGGAGGGGCTCGATAGGAGACTGTCGCTGTTGGTGATATCTGCTAGTAAGGTAAATCACAAGAATAGGGGGAAACACTGGACCTCAACCTGAATTGCAAGTTAGTGTAGGTCCTCCGACTCTTTACGAAGTTGAAAAAAGCCATAGGAAATGTGAAGCGAGGTAGAGCAGCAGGCCCTGACAGGTTTACTCCTGAGATTTTCAAGGATGGTGGTCCAGTATTAGCAGTGAGACTAACTGAGGTCTTAGGTAGAATTTGGGAACTGGACGCAATCCCATCTGACTGGTCTCAACCACTGATTGTGTCAGTCTATAAGAAAGGACAAAAGTCCTCTTGTGACAATCACAGAGGAATCAGTTTTACAAATACAGTGTCTAAAATATTGACTTCAATAATACTTCGACGCCTAATCAAAGCTCGTGAAGAGCAGATTAGAGAAAACCAGGCTGGTTTTCGACCTGCACGTGGTTGTATAGATCATATATTCACACTACGTCAGGTCCTAGAACACAGACACACATTCAGACGCCCCACAATGGTGGTATTTCTCGACCTTAAGGCGGCATTTGACTCTGTTGATCGTGAGGTTCTATGGCAGTGTTTGTCACTGAAAGGAGTACCAAAGAAGTACATTAACCTTATAAAGGCTCTCTACTCGAACACAACTGGTAGAGTGAGAGCTTATGGCGAACTGTTATCAGAATTGATTACCTCAAGTGGTGTTCGTCAGGGCTGTCCACTCTCTCTATTCTTGTTCAACTTTGTCGTCGACGTACTTTTGGAGCTAACACTTTCCTCGTCTGACTTTCCAGGGGTTGAATTTCTATCGGGAAATTCACTTGTTGGCTTGGAATATGGCGATGACATAGTTGTATTTAGTGAAGACGCTGACAAAATGCAGAGTCTTCTGACCACTCTAAGCAACAATGCAAGCATGTTCGGGGTGCGATTCTTTCCCTCGAAATGTAAAATGTTGCTTCAGGATTGAGCTGCATTGATACCCGAACTAATGATAAGGAGTGAAGTAGTTGAGCGTGTCGACCACTTCACTTATCTTGGAAGTCTCATCAGTCCTTGTGGTCTGGTGTGTGACGAAATCTCAGCACGGATACAGAAGGCTCGATTAGCTTTTGCCAACTTGCGTCATCTATGGCGTAGGCGAGATATCCGTCTATCAACCAAAGGACGTGTTTACTGCTCAGCAGTTCGTCCCGTCCTACTTTATGGCAGTGAAACATGTCCGGTAAGAGTAGAGGATATTCGTAGCTTACTAGTATTTGATCATAGATGTCTTCGAAACATTGCTCGTATATCGTGGGACCATCGAGTAAGTAATGCAGTTGTTAGGAAACGGGTACTAGGTAAGGATGTCAAATCAATTGATGAAGTAGTGAAACTTCATGAGTTGAGATGGCTGGGACATGTGTTACGTATGCTCAACCATCGACTGCCTCGACATCCGATGTTTTGTTGCATAGGAGTAGATTGGAAGAAAGCTAGGGGCGGCCAGACCAAAACATGGCACAAGTCCATGAAGTCACTGACAAGTAGACTGAGTCATATTGGTAGGTGTAGACTACCTGGTTGGGATCCGCGAGATGATAGCAACCGATGGTTAGAGACCCTGAATGACATGGCTCAAAACCGTTTGCAATGGCGCAGGTGCATCCACTCTTTGTGTTCTCCCAAGTTCTAATCTCCTGATTCCTCCTTGTCTCTTTTTTCTCTTCTTTAATTTATTTCACTGGATTATACTCTTTAAATAACATGTCCAAACCCTAATCTTCCCGATTACTGCTTATACCCTTGCTACCTCTACCACTACGGGATTTGAATCAACAACTGCATCTCTGTGCTAATGTGGTATGGTAACTCGAACTGATGTACGTAGGTACGAAGTTCTGCGTTGTTACTGACTGACTGACTGACTGACTGACAATTGGATCCTCTGCCAATTAAAAGGTAATCTTTCAAATCGTCTCTTAAAACGTTTTCATGTTTTTAAGTTATAAATCCCCGAATGCACCATGTATTTCATTCCATTTATCATTATAATATAGTAAAGTATTTCAAAAAACATTCTATTCAGTTATGTCGAAATAAAGGTATTCAAGATAATAATTTGTTTATAATTAACATTGAATATTCTCTTTTCATCGTTAATGTTGTTACTTAGTCAGAATTAAGGTATGTTGTTGATGGCCTTGAGGGAAATTGAGATTAGTCAATCAGAGTAGAGTTTTTGTAAATGAAATGGATATCACGAAAAGACGTTGAAATTATAAAGAATGTAAAGTTTTAGAATGCTAACATTGATACTCCTAAAGCAATCTTATTTCTCCACCTTGTGCCTTCGCCGCATATCGTTTTCTGAACACAACTGTTTGACATACTTTTTCTCAATAATCCAACATTCAGGTGATCTATAGTCATATCATCATCATCATGCAAGGGGGGTGGTCCATCCTCAGAAATCACTTCGTAAACTTTTTATTTTTGTGATTTAATTGTGTAAATTTGAATTTTCTCATTTTCGCGCCGAAAATCCTCATTATTAACTTCAGTTTGTACTTCCCACCTGTAAGGACCTTAATCACCATTGGTTCGTTTTCTTTTTAGCAAGCTATTTTGTGATGCATTTTTGTATTTTATATATTACGCATGAGTTGTGCGCTTGTTATCCGTTTATCTGGACTGCTTGTGAGAATATGAGCAAGGATGGATAGTGATTAGCAGTGAAATCCAGGACGCGCGTTTCATTCTATTTGAGACTCATCAGCCGGATGTACCTGCATCATACAGTTGGTGTTCACTCTGGTACTTGAACCCAGTACCGTTCGCTTCAAACACCATCGCGTTATCCACTTATTTACTGAGTCCTGATAGCTACTTGCTTGTGCAATAAATAACATATGCACATATGCCAATAAGAGACTGATCAATTGCAGTCCTAATCATCACAATACCAAGTGCTTGTAGGAATATTTTCCCTTCTGAATCTGGTCTTTTTCCTCTAGTTAAAAGAACTGGGTCACGAAGTCCAATTTACCCTGTTGTTGCGTTGCTGTTTTTCGTTCTGTTCGCCGGTCTAAGGTGACATCATAACCTCTAGAACATAGCACATCCAAGTTAGCCAAAACTCGAAATCTCTTCAAAAATAAGGTATTCAGCACCAGCCAGACCTATCTACAGTTTTGTTTTAAAACCCAAGTATAAATTTAGCAATTGATATCTTCATACTGATTGGTTAGTTCCATTTTATTTCAAGACTACTGATATACTTCAATTACTCTGTTGCTTTTTTATTCTTGTTGCATCATTCTAGTTGAACGTCGACGTCGAGATAGAATTAATACATGGATAAGTGAATTGTATAAATTATTACCACCGGATGAGCAAACTAAATCACAATATCAAAGTAAAGGTATTGTATTAAAACGTGTCTGTGAATATTTTCAAAATGTGGATAGTATGCTGAAAGCAGCTAATTCAGCAGTTGAACAAGTATGTTTTTGTATAGTTTGTGTGTTGTCTTTTTATTTGTTTTTGTCGTCTCATCTTTTGTTTCATGATGATAGTATCAATGTAGGTAGATGAAGTTGATCACCTATTGGATCCTAGTTTAGTTGGTATCAAAGTGCCCTAATACGGATGAGGGGTTCCACTACCCCTCTCGACATGCTTTCATTTGGCTACGCATATATAGCCGCTGACAGGGGAATGCTGCTCATTGACTTCTCGTGGCGGGGTTCGCGAAATTGAGAGGACAAAAAGCCAATATCCTGCTCTGGTTTAAACCGGGTTGTACGGAACAAGTAGAAAGCTTTTTAATTGAAATAATAACCGAGAACATTCCCGAAGATTATAATCCATCATGGCAAATCTAAAAATTTTGGTCGACCTTTGAGCGATCCAAAAAGGACTCCATGAAAACTCGCCTACCCACTAGGGTTTAATGAGGGTAAAAAGAGTATAAGAAAACAGAATCGGGATCTAAATTTAAAGTTAGGGTTAGGAATTAGAGTAAGCGTTTTCATCACTAACTGGCAGCAGCTATTTTACCATATGAAAGGATGAATTCAAGTCTCGCTATTTAATATGTGATTGGTTCATCCATAAACTTTAGTCTTGCCATCTTTCTTTTTATTAATGTCTCCCATCCGAAGCTAGTTACAGTATGCATTAACAAGCTAATTCTAACCATATTCATTAACCCTTTTTATATATCTACACGAAATATAGTTGAATGAACTAATTTCATCTGACTTTCTTACAATTTTATTGAAATCGCGGACCGATCTAAGTTAAATAATCATTGGAAATATTGAAGCACTAAACGTCCGTCTCAACCTAGCATGGTAATCCTCAGTAGGGAGTTTTCATAACCCCAGTAGTTTGGGGTTTGAACCCCAGGATCTTCGGTCTTCTACATGAACCATAAGATCCGAAGGTGTACGAGTCAATGTGACTATCTTTCATTATCTTCAGTGAATACCTTACCGACACACTTGATATGGTTGAACTTCATTATTTTCATTTACCTTTTTTTATTCTAATCATCATCAACTGTTATTTCGTTTAGCATTAAATTTCAGATTTTATTTCCTTAATTTACTTTTATTCATAATGTATATAGTACTTATTGTTCGTACAATGTAAAATTGTCAATTTGGCAAAATAAACATTGCCAATGGATAAGTTGTGTTATTATGCCTTATACCTTTGTGTATATCACAATCAATAAGTCAGTTTTCAGCTGATTCCAATTAATCCTGTGTCTAAACACATAAACTATTCAAAAAAAATTATGTGTGTGTAATAGTCAGTCGATCAGTCACGATGTTGGATTCATTGGTCATTTTACTTACCACCACTAACTACTATTACTGTTACTACAAGTATTAGTGCTTGTTCACACGTGTTATTACTTATTTTGTTTGTTCATTTATGCATGTGTGTGTATACATATGTTTTACGTCTGCCAGATATTTCAGTTATTGAACATGTTTAGTTATCGTCTTTCCTTTCGGTTATAGTTTTTTAATGTCATCATTACACAGATTACCAAAAATACAAACATCCATGTAAGAATAGCTAGCTGTATACAAAAATATGTATGGCATCAGAGTCGCTACGATGATAATCATACATATTTGAGCCAGTGAATTCAGTTTCCCGAAATATTGGTACTGAATCATTGTAGCAGAACATATGTTACACCAAACCTTGATATTACTAACGTGACTTTGCCACTGAATATCAGCAGTTCTTCGGAGACAGCAATAGTCGAACATAGAGATTCTTTGAACCATCTTAGCTCGGAGAGACCAGGCTAGGCTGTGGGTAATCCGCTTTCATTTCCACTGTGCGTAAACTGATCTCATCTCCAGTGCTATTTCCAGTATATGAACGTTTCAGCTATCAACAGTAGCTCACTGCAAAGAATGAGTGTTAGCATAGGCTTGTGCAAGCTTTCCTGTGGTCCTTTGCACTTCGAAAGTGCAAAGTATTTGGTATATATGACATTAATTTCTAATTCTGCAGGTGTGACTTTGGTAGCCATTAACCAAAAAAAAGTTCGCTCGACGTTTGTTTACTGAGAAACATAGAGCTTATGTCTATTATTGGCTTAGAATCAAAACTTTCCAGCTTCTCTTCACTTTCGGCCATATCAAAGTTTTAAGTGCTAAGTTAGCTTTACAACTTTTTCTCAACATTACTAGAATCAATTCAGTTCATTGAAGTACCACAGTCGTTTCCGACAATAGCTTCTCTAATTATAGATTTCGATTAATTTTACAGTTTTCATTCTGAATTAGTTGCAGTTGTGGAACTTTTTGAAATTTTCATATCGTACAATGATGTTTCGGCTAAAATATAATTTATAAGTGAACCAATCAGATTTAAGGTAGCGAGTTTAGGATTTTACCGCAAAATTCATCCTTTCATATGGTAAAATAGCTGCTGCCAGTTAGTGATGAAAACGCTTACTCTAATTCCTAACCCTAACTTTAAATTTAGATCCCGATTCTGTTTTCTCATACTCTTTTTACCCTCATTAAACCCTAGTGGGTAGGCGAGTTTTCGTGGGGTCCTTTTTGGATCGCTCAAAGACCGCTCAAAAAAGAGTTTTCGTGGAGTCCTTTTGCTGCCACTAAAAAGTCGTCCATAAGTTATCATTTCTTCGTCCTTGAATTCATTTTTCCTTATCATAAATTGCTTTAACAACGAAAACAGACTAGTGTGTATGTGTGTGTCTGTGTAATAGATGTCTTGTCCATGAAAGTCATCCAAAATTAAATCTTATCTAATAAATCACCAACCTTTAACGTAGCCTAGGCATTTGTCACATGATAATGGTGTTAATGTGTTGAATTCCTAAAAACCTTTTTTCTTGACTCATTTTTAAGCAAATGTGCCTGGTAAAACTGATTAGTTGCACAGATGGTAAAGATAACGTTATCGGAGAAGTATCGATAAGGGGAATAAAAAAACTATTAATTGATGAAGAGATTAGATTGTGAACTCGATCTTGAGTCCTGATTGAGATGTTGTCATTACTTGGTTGCCCATATCGAGGAAGGATTTTTATTATCGAAGTTCCAGATTAGGAAAGTTGTTTAGTGGATTGTCTTGACAATCTGAGATCATGACCATAATGCCATAAGAACAACTGCTTAGGACGTGTCACATAGACTTTTTGTGACTAGTTATTAATGTGTTAGTTTTGTAATTTTAAGACTACCACCTGTATCTGGAATCCGTAGGGTTTAGGTGAGGTGTGTTATTCGTAGAGCTGTATGTTCCTAGTACTTTTGTTTAATTGTGAACAAGAAGCATCACTGCATATACTGGTTGTATGAGGGAAATACACATCTCTATACATCCAATAGTACCACTTCTCTGCGTTTTAGTCTTACCACTCTACAACCTACCTGCCTCAAATGGTTAGGTCTAGTTTATTTATTTGTTTTTCTAAACAAATAAATATTGGTTTAAAGGGGAGCAATATAAATATGCGTCACAATAGGAAGAAGGAAGGTGAGTATAATAAAAGTAACAGTAAATGAATAAAAACAAATGAACTAGAGTATTATGTTGTTAGAAGAAGCAGTTCAGTTAAGAAAACTATAATGAAAATAGAATGCTTCATTTAAAACAATTCCTCTCACTTATATGAAGTCAAAGAAAATTACAGCAGGACCTCCACTGGCTTGTATGTATCCCGAAACATTCTTAACAGTATATTAAGCCACTGCGTTGGACTATAGAACTCCAATGAAGCAGTCATGAAGGTCCAGGAGATACCAATCTTTTAAGGTTTCATTTCATACAATGACAACACCATTTCATACACAAACCACTTGTCCACATCTTCTAGCCAGTCCCAGCGTCGGCAAATAATACACGACGTAGAGTTCGCTTGGACGACATTCGTAATGCACGTCCAAACCATCGAGGTCTGTGTTTCAAGTTGGTAACACCATTTGAATTATAGTCTATGTGCTCAAAGAAATTGCCGGACCTCCGTATTACTGACATAGTTATGGCACTTGAATTCACCAATCCTTCTTGGACAACGATGATCAAATACAGAAGGTCTCTTAGCATCCTTAAGTAAGAGAAACCAGGTTTCACAAGCATAGAACAAAACTGTTCTCACCAGCTCGTTTTAGATCCGACTTTTTAGGGACAGACTAACATCACAAAGACGTCCAAGATTTCCAAGGTTGGCATAAACCGCTCTGGCTTTTACTATACATGAATTGATCTCATTAGTCATATCACCACCAACACTTACGCACTTATGCATGAACTTCTCAGTTACTTCTATCTGCTCACCTGGAAGGTGCACATCAAGAAAATATCATCCACATACTCTATGTCGAGACTTCAGCCACTATATCTTGGTTGGTTCATCCTAATTAACAAACTCTACCACCACAGAATTGCAGTAGATGCAAAATTAATTTCTCAGATTTGTTAATTTGTTTTAACGTGGCTAGTTTATTATTGAATGTATTGTATTATAATATCTGCACAGAGCATAAATTTTCGTGCACACTGGTAACAGTAATAGATAGTATTTTTCATTCTAGTTGCCTTCAGAAGTTTGTTCAATGAAACAATCTTTCACTGTGTATATTTCTATCAATTATTATTATTATTATTTTCAGATTCGTGTAGAGAATAGTATTCTACGTCAACGAGTGCATGAATTACAACAAGAAAATCAATTATTATCAGCTTCTTTACAATTAGGTGCTGTAGCTGCTGCTGCTCATCTTAAAAATAGACAACCTCGACCTGGTTCATCATTATCATCGGTCAATATGAATACTGCTAATGAAGGAAACACTATTAGTAATAATAATAATAATAATGGAACAGTACCAGGATGTGGGGTTGTATCCACATTAGCTAATAGTGAAAATTGTACAATATTAAAAGATCCTATAGAATTTACAGATTATCAATCTCCACTTACTGTATTCACATTAGATACTCCGAATAATAATAATAGTAACAATCATAGTGTAAATTTCAATCAAACTAATTCTAATTGTATAACTCCTACAAGTTCACTTAATAATAATCCATGTTTTACAACATCATTAGCATCGATCAATTCTATTGGTGGATTTAATGTTTCTCAAACAATATCACCGACGAATACATCGTCAACTTCAGAAATAATGAATCAAGTATTATGTCCTTTAACTTTACCAAGTTTAGACCATATCACTATGCAGCATACAGATACTACTACCATTAATACTACTACTAATAATAATAATCGAGTATCCTGAGATTCGTATACATACACATACTCATGTCCTCTTCCTTCCTAGTCTCTGTTTTCGATATAAAATCTACATAGTGGACTAACTATATATACATATGAATTGGTTCCCTTTTTGAAAAAAATTAGCTTGTTATTCTTTTCAGAATTCACTTTCTGACAATTATCTTCATTCATTTAATGAACAGAGAAAGAAAGAAAGAAAGAAACTAAATTGTTCAGCACAATCTCTTTCAGAATGTCAACATAAAACTTATTACATTCCTTTTCTTCTACAAATATAATTGATTTATCTTGTTGATAAGATGAAAATGGTAGTACGTATTTTGTTGTTGTTGTTGTAGTTGTAGTCGGACAAGGCACTTCTTTCCACTATTCATCCTCATCAACATTTTAATGATAATAAAGATCTAATCATTTCTGTATCTTTACACTTATGTTTTTTTTCTCTTCTTCAACACTTCATTGCAACTGAATTTCATATACTTTCTAACTTTACTTATATTATTTATTTGCCTTTCTTGTCGATCTAATCATTATCATTATCATCATCATCATAATAATAATATGTACCTGATAATTTACACTACCTTCATCATTAAGCCGACAATAATGACTGCTATAATATTTGACTTTTTCAATTCTTATGCCTATTTTCTTGTCAATTCTTTTGAGAAAGAGAACAAGACCCATTTATTTATTCATTCATTCGAATGAAATTTATGACAGATTTGCAAATATTCATTATAATAGGCGTATATTCTTCATTCTCTGTTTTAGGACTCAGTAATATTTTATGATTGATATTTCTCTTTCGTTGATAATATGGTCGTTCATTGTGTCTTGTTCTTTTTGCACAATGCATATACCTATATATATATATATATACACTCATGTGTATTGTATAATTCATTCGCCACACCACGTGTGTGTGTGTGAGTGTGATTAGGGCAAAAATAAAGTTGGATTTCTTTTTGTTTAACCATTTTTTTCACCTGGTGATTTTTCATTTTCTTTTTTTGTGCGTACAAAGTGTTTTGACTGCTACTACTATTACTACTATGATCATTATTCTCACTGACGATTATTCTTTCGTTTTTTGTTTAGAAAAATATATTTCTCGTATATTCTTTTTATTCTCATCATTGTGTTTATCTGTGATAGTGATGCTTTAATTAAAAAAATTGTTGAAAACTAGACGGCGGTAAATCACTCTCATGACTGTCGTCATTATAACCATTCAGTTAAAAAAAAAATACAACCTGGTTTATGTAACTTTTCTAATGTTTAACACAACCTACATCCATATTCACATATGAAGTGGAAATTCATCTATAAGTACATATCTATGTTGTGTTATATGATCGTCATCACTACTACTACTACTACGACTACTACTATCATCACCACTTTGTATTGTTTACTTCCATCTGCTCACAACAGTTTTCATCTAATAATAATAATACTAATAATAATTCTTTCTTATCACCCATCTATTCATATATTGCGCCTGTTTCTTTGTCTTATCTCTTTTTGCCTGTTTAAAGTTTATCATTTGTAATTTATTATTATGTAGTTTTCTTTTCTATGTCTTTCACAATGACACACATCCTACTAAACACAAACTGGTGTCAATTCATCTTTTAACTATTACAAAATTGTATCACATTTTGTTCTGTTCTGCCCATTAGGTAATTTCATCACTTTTAACATGATTGTATTTTTTTTGTTGTTGTTGCACAGATTAGGGTTCTTTATCCACTCATCGCCCCCCCTACCAACAAATTTTGTGTTACTTCTGATTGTATGTTAAAATGCTGTGTTTTCATTGCCCAGTATCTATGATAATACTATCTGTCGTGCTTTCTGAGTCAAAAGCAATTTTTAGTTGCTATGCGAAATGACGATTTTCTTTTGTCTTCTCAATTTGCTTGTTTCTTGATGTAAATGAGATATTAGCCTTATTAGTGGGGGGAAAAGTTTTTTTTATTTAAGAAAAAAACAAACATTAAAGAAGGATTACATATACATATATATATAATAATAATTGAGAATTAGTTGTCAATCAATAATTCAACTGGTACTCAAATGAAAAAAAAGACTCCTAAATATTGTCATTTTTCATTTGAGGTTGTATTCATACAGCTGGGTTAGTGTAATTTTTAAAAAATTTTGATTGAATATTCAATGTTTTGTTGTATTTCTTCCTTAATGCTTTATTCTTTCACAGAGATGATCATTTTTGTTTCATGTTCATTAGTTTTTGAGGTTGATTTAATTGAATGTAGTTTGGTTGTTGATTTGTTTCTTCTTTCTTTCTTTATTATTATCTTTATTCAAGTGGGAAAACCCCCCCAGAGAAAACTGATTTTTAGCTCATCTCATAATCAAATAAAACGTGAAGATGAATGTTCATTCAAGTTTTGTTCTTTTAATCGTTTATTCGTAATAGTACAGCACAATATTATCTATACATATGTGTGTGTGTGTGCGCCAAGTGACTAGTTAGTTAAAAAGCTACCTAATTGTTTCATGTTTTTTTTTTTTGTAATTTTTCGCTCTCTTGGATATAATATGTAATTGTTGTTTGATTGTTTATTTACTGGTATCTCTTTCCTATATAGAAAAGAATATGAGTAATAATTCAATGCCATTGTGAATTGTTTTTCGATTTCACACATGAATTCTCATCAGCAGGGGGGGGTATCTTCTCTATGTCTCTCTCATATCTTCAATTGATTTACAATATGTTTGTGAGAAAAAAAATGATTATCATTAATACACTTTTAGTGTTTAGCATAAGATCAAATGCTTCTGTTCTAAACAGATTTTTTTTCTCTCTCTTTAAAACTTAGATATAGGAGATAATATGGGTAACTATGTAAACTGGTTTCTCAGTTTAAACAATAGCAACAAGAAAAACATGTTTTCATTGATTATATCATTATGGTTGAGCACATATGAAATGTTTTTTCTCTTCAAGATTACAGTTCTTGTTTTTTAAAAAAAATGAATTTTCAACTCACTTTTTATATGAAATTAAAGTGAACATCAGTCAGATAAACCGCTAATATCATATTTTAATAATGACCGAGATTACATAATCTTTGGAACGTATGATTAGGATTTAGTTCTTTCGTAATCTGAATGAGATTCTATATTGTTCTGTAATTTATCACATCAGTGATTTAATGTGCTTACAGTTAAAAAGTAACTCAGATTCTATTCAAAAAACGTTAAGTTCCTTGTTTCGAGATGGTCACAAGGGGAGATAAAACAAATACTGCTTAGATTAATGTTGCCCTTTCATAATTTAGTCACATATAAACAGAGATAGATAGTGGCAAGTAGTAGGTCCCAGGACGCGCGTTTTGTCCTACCCGAGACTCAGCTGAGTAGCTGTTACATATACCTCTACGAGTTGACGTTCACTCTGGGATTCGAAGAGACTGGTCAATATCACAGCCCCAAAACATCAATGGAAAGCTTCAAACAATCAATAAGATCCAGTCGTATATTCTTCCAAAACATCGCGATTGTTAGCATAATTTAAGTATATCGAGGTTAAAAAAGTACAAAGCACGAAAAATGTATGAAATGAAGTCACTATCACAATAACATGCTTAAGCAAAGAAAGTGTTGATATCCCTAGTTCCCGTGATATTATTTTTGTGGGTAGTTATCCTAACACTTCAACTAATACATTATTTTAGTGTCATTTGAAAACATGATATTCCAAGGCAAAGCTAAATAACGGAAGGTCAACTAAAATGAGTTGATATGAAACTGTTAATTTTGTTTTATTATATTACGGGCAACAACGAATCATAAATTTGAGATTCTTCACAAACTATATGATAACACACTTAAAATATATTCTTGTAAAAACTTTCAATTTGTAAATAGTTGCATACTCCGCAGCAAGCAGTTCCTTCTATTCTACTCTGTGGGTGTACTACGTGACCTTTAAAAGTGGGATATTCATAGTTTACCATTGTTTGGTCACATAACATTGTTGGCATATCGTGAAACTTTCAAGTAACTGCGATGTGAAGCATAAAATACTAGGCACATGCTAAATCGGTTGGTGAGGATTTAAATTATCGACCAAGGTGGTCGAAATGTGTATTACGCTTTGGTGCGCTTGTTAGCTAAAAGGAAGGTAGGGCTGGTCAAACCGTTACACTAGTGGATAAAATCACTGGGTTTCGATCTGAGGGGTGTTGATAGATAAAGACTAATTGGTTGCACTACGAGAGGTTATCGTGACCATTCATAAGAAATGTGACCATAATTGATTGATCACTGGGTGGTGATCAGTGTCAAGTGGGTGACATGGGATCGAATCCGTCAGGGAGCACCAGTTCCCTCAAGACTACTGGTATACCTTGCTGACGAGTGCCAAGTAGCACGAAAATCGGGTCCAGGGTTTCCTGTCGACTACCTCCAACCACCATCTAATCAAAACTCATCTGTATTTAACGACAAAGCATTCTAACGAAATTCCAACAATACTAATTAGCATAACCATTACAATTGATAAAAAATATTTTCCTCAAAAATAACGGGATTGAAAGAACATAGCAAGAAAATACATGGTTCCTGAGAACAAAAATATAAGGTTGGTATTTTAAGTCTTAAAACACAACACAGTGAGCACCGACCAAATTTCGCATGGTGGAAAAGCTTTTGAAGTGGTGGAAATTTTCGTATAACTAGGGAGCATCATTGATGAAAAAGGACAGATATCAAAGCACGGACTAGAAAAGTAAGAACGGCATTTTCCTGGAATCTTGAAGGGAAAAGGAAAAGAGGAACACTGAGTGACAACACGTCGGAGATCGAAAGCAGACATCTAAAGAATGAATAACATTTAGAAACAACTGGAAAGAAGAGCCCTGGACTGAGTTGGTTTGAGAATCCTAGTCGGCGACCTATGTTCTACATGGAGTAACAGGCATAAGGTATTAAGTATTAGATTAGAATGTGAGTTGAATTAACAGTTTATAAACATAATTAGTTGAAAAATGAACATCAAAAATCAACCGAATAGAAGTGCCATTACGAAGGTTTATTTTGAGAACTTCGAATAAATTGAGCACTGGCTAATCTAGAAATATATCTAAACGAGCATAAAATGCTCACTACATCAGATGAAGAGAAACAAAATGAACGCAAAAATATAATCAATATCCTACGAATTATTAAAACGAAATGTTCTTGTGTTGGATAATATTAAATTGAATGAAGTATCATGGGTTGGGTACTGTATTTCTAGGAATAACGTCATGGAACAACCGAGGAACTATTTTAAAAAAAAATCCTCAAATCACAGAATTAACGACTTTCATAAACAAACACTATTTGAAAAGATAAAATTCTTATCATTTCGACACAAAATTGTGCTGACAGACTATTGATGTTACATTCTGAAGAATAATTTCTCTTAAATATTTAATTGATATTCTACATCTCTATAAGACAATTCAATATGATGATAATGAATAAGCTTTAATATTGATTAAAGTGTTGTAATAATAAGACGTAAATCTTTTAGGAAAAACATGGAAAGGAAAAAAATGAATGGATTTATGGTGTGTGTGTGTGTGTGTGTGAACATTTCAAATGTCAAAACGTTACTATAGTGATGAAATTAGTTAATATATGTCCAGGAGAAGTTAAATATTCAGTAAAAAAAATGCACAGAGATTCTATATATTTTTGTAAAATGTCTTAGTGATTTTTTTTTGATTAAATAAATGACAGTCAAGTATAAAAAACGTTATTATTATTATTATTATTATTATTATTATTATTATTATTATTATTATTATTATTATTATTATTATTATTTGAATAAAGGGTGAAGCTAAGTCAGTGACAATGTTGGACCAGGCACATATGTGCATCGGTTCAAGTTGCCATACCTCACCACATTAGCACAACAAGATGAACACCGGATTCATAGAAGTAGTTAATTCAATGGTAGTAATATATAAAATGAAGATTGCATATAAGGATATAGTAGAGGAAGAAAGAATTAGTTCGTAGAAAGAAATATATGAAGTGATTTTATCTCTTAGTTTAAGGGAAGACAGAGAATGTATACACTTACGCCATTGTGATCGATTCTGAGCAATGTCACACAGAGTCTCCAACCATTGGTTACGATAGTCACGCGGACCCCAATCAAGTAGTCTACATCTGCCAACAACATGGCTCAGACTACAAGTTAGTGACTTCAATGGCTGATGCCACGTTTTGGTCTGGCCGCCTCTAACTTTCTCCCAACCATCTGCAACACCAGTTGGCATTGCACGTCACGGTAATCGCTGTTCAGGCATACACAACACGTGGATCAACCATCTCAGTCGATGAAGATTCACAACCTCATCAACTGATTAACCATCATTCCCTAATACCTTGTGTTTAACCTCACTATTACTTACCCGGTGATCCCAGCAGATGCGAGCAATATTTCTGAGACATCTGTGATCAAATACTAGTAGCTCACAAATATCCTCTACTCTTAATGGCCATGTTTCACTGCCCTAAATTAAAACAGAACAGACTGCCGCGCAGTATACTCGTCCTTTTATTGACAGATGGATATCTTACTTTTGCCATAGGTGACGTAAGATGGCAAAAGCCAAACGATCTTTTCGAATCCATGCTGAGATTTCGTCAGATATCAAACCATTAGGGCTGATCAGACTTCCAACATAAGTGAAGTTGTCAACGCGTCCGACTTCTTCACTCTTTTTATCTTTAGTTCAGGTGTTGACGCAGACCAGTCCTGAAGCAACAACTTGCATTTCGAGGGAGAGAAGCGCATTTCAAACATTTTGGGATTGTTGCTTAGTGCTATCAAAAGACTCTGCATTTTATTAGAGTCTTCACCAAACAGGACAATGTCATCTGCGTATTCTAAGTCGATAAGTGGACATCCTGGTACGACATCAATGCCCGAAAATTCAGTCCACAAAAGCGTTATTTCCATCAGTACGTTTAGGATGAGATTAAATAGAAATGAAGATAGTGGACAGCCCTGTCCGATACCACTTGAGGTTGCAAAATCAGATGACAGTTCGCCATCAGTTGTGACACGACTGGTAGTGTCCGGGTAAAGAGCCTTCACAAGGTTTATGTAATTCTGAGGTACGCCTTTCAATGACAGACACTGCCACAGAATCTCGCGGTCTACGGAATCAAGTGCTGCTTTAAGTCAAGAAAGACCACCATTGGCGGACGCCGACAAGTATGCCTGTGTTCTAGAACTTGAAGAATGGTGAATGTGTGCTCGATGCAACCACAACCATGTCTGAAGCCAGTTTGATTTCCTCGTGTTTGCAGTTCACGAGTCTTAGTTAGGTGTCTGATAATTATCGAGGCTCGTATTTTAGATACTATATCATTTAAACTAATCCCTCTATGGTTGACACAGGATGATTTCGACCCCTTCTTATGTAATGGGACGATCAGTGATTGTGACTAGTCAGATAGGATAACTTCCAATTTTCAGATTTTAGCAAAAATATTAATCAAGCTAATCGCTAAAACTGGACCACCATCCTTAAAGACTTTTGGAGTTAATCTACCTGGACCAGCTACTCTTCCTCGTTTCAGATTGGTTATAGCTTTTTGAAATTTAATTAAATTCAGAGTGTCTATTTCAATGTTCCATTTCGACATTTTGGAAATGGTGGATAGTTGTAGTTGTAGAGTATCTGAAGACCAGCTGAACTGCTTCTTAAAGTGTTCCGCCCATCATTCTAAACGTCTGAACTGAGAGCAGATAGGAGTGTGGTCCTTTTTTCGAAATTGTCTCATTTACACGTAACTTTTTAATTCCGGTTTAATTTTATTAGTCTGAAAAGGTGTCCAGTGTTACGTGTAGCCACTGTCTTTTCCATCACTTTTGCTTTCGTTGCCCACCACTGCTCACTATTGTTCCGTAACTTTTGGTTTAGGTAAATGTTATTTGTTTTCGCTCTTCATCGTGCTTGGAGCATGATGGGTGATGAGTTTACGTGAATGTATGCGTGCAATGGACTTGGTAGAAATGCACTGATTTTTCGTAACCCTTTGATTTAAATCACTATTAGATGTGGGTGCTGTTTCTACAACTGTTTGTATATCATTTCAAGCAACATCTGGGTCAGCCTCGTTTTCAGAACTGCTTGGGTGTGACCTCAGTT